ATATAAGGAAAAGAAAATTGATATCATATTTGTGCTTAATAATATTAATATAGGTTAAGGCCTGTAGTCTTCATGCAGGCCCCCACATTTGTACCCTAAAGTTCAAAGTGGGGAAGCAGCCTTGACAGTGTGTCTGTGCAGCGCCCGGTGCGACGGGGCCCTGATCTCAGTCACTATGTGTCTGGGCAGCGCCCGGTACAAAGGGGCCCTGATCTCTGGCACTTTGTGTCTGTGCAGCGCCCGGTGCGACAGGGCTCTGATCTCGGTCACTGTGTGTCTGTGCCGCGCCCGGTGCGACAGGGCTCTGATCTCGGTCACTGTGTGTCTGTGCAGCGCCCGGTGCGACGGGGGTCTGATCTCGGTCACTGTGTGTCTGTGCAGTATCTGACATTACAGGGCCCTGATCTTGGTTGGGTCTCATAAGTGTATCTGTAATACATATAATGAAAATAATGCTAGCTGGGGGAGCAAAGCAGGTGTGTTGATTTATAACAATTGATACCCACGTAGGAATTTCCTTTCCCCTGTATCGAAGGATCCATCACTTCTTTGTGGTTAAATTGGAGGATTTCCTTTTTGCTCTTTGAACCCTCCATAAGTAGCAGGCAGGCAAGAAGAGGAGGCAAACACACACTGACAGGAACAAGAAGAGGCCAACCTTCCAAGAGGAGACTTTGGGGAAAAACTCATCTGCAAAAGGAAGAAAGAAGAGACCTCATGTTAGTCTTCTGCAACATGCAAAGGCAAATAAACAAACAAAACAATTGGACATGGGCCCTGTTTTGTCTCCTTCACGATGCATGAAAAAGCCCTCAGTGCTATTTTCTAAAAGTTGTTTATTTTCTCCCTTTTTGTTTTTAAAGCATTCAAACCCCAGAAATATTGAATTCAGGTTTTCCGCACTGGACCTCTCTTTGGAGAACCCAGGGATGTGGGCTGAGAGTTTTGGCAATTCTTGAATAATAGGGTGCCCAACAAAGAGGGGTTTTGCTTGGGCATTTGAGTCCTAGAACTAAATAATGGTGGCATTTTCAATATGGCCTAGTGAATATAATTGTATTTCATTTTTTCATTTCAGTGGCACCTAAAGGCCCCAAGTAAGATCAGGGCCACGTCACGTTGGGCGCTGTACAGACACACAGTGACCAAGATCAGAGCCCCGTCACGCCGGGTGCTGCCCAGATGAACGGTAATCAAGATCAAGGCCCGATAGCTCTGGGTGCTGCACAAACACACATGGTGACCGAGATCAGGGCCCCATCTCGCTGGGCACTGAACAGACACACGGTGACTGAGATCAGGGCCCCATCATGCCGGGTGCTGCACAGACACGCAGTAAAAGACAATCACTGCCCCAAAGTTCTCACAGTCTATCAATGCCAATCTGGACCCAGGTCTGTGTCCTGGTTCCATTAGCAGCTCACGTGAGATGAGAATGGCTGAGACTTTCTCCGGGCCAGGTGAGCCGGGTCTGATGACACAAATCAGTGTTGGGGCCGACTGCTCAGTCACTACCACGGAGCTGGAGACATCAAAGAGGTCCTGGTTTATGGAGATTTTTTCCTCCTTAGATGGGGTCAGTCTCTCCCTGTGGCCATTTCTCCAGAGCACCTTTGGCTTCGGGTACCACCCCACAGAGAGACATGTCACGTTCATCTGCTTGCCGTCATATCCACCAATATGGAGGAGGGGGTCCGAGCCGGAGCCTGGGGGAGTGAAATCAACATGAATTCTCCCTTGATTTCATGCTATCCTCATTCCTGATCCCCTTATGGACTGCCCCGGAGAGTGGGGTTCTGAGAGCTGGGGAGAGCTGATGGCTGGGTACTGGAGCTGAGACATTGACACTGAAAATAGGGGGCACATATCTGCCATTGCAGGGCATCCTCTATGGAAGGAGGCTCTGTCGGGCTGTCACAACCCAATGGCCCCCTCCCCTTAGGGAGTCCCCTGGGAAGGTAGATCAGCACTGTATATTGCTAATGCTGTTGCAAGCATCGCAAAGCATTTTGGGGAGGGTTAAAGGTGTGTGAGTGGAGAGTGGAAGTTTCCTTTGTAGGTTACAAGAGGTTGAGAAGGGGGGAAGAAGAAGAAAAGACCAGAGAACAAGTTAACTCAACACTGCAGCTAGTAAGCTCAGTCCGAAGATAAGACGCTGGCCCTGGCCCAAGGTCATGGGCTAGACGAGAAATCTACAGATGCCCAGCCATGAGAGGATGAGAACTAAGTTGAGCAGAGCTGCAGAAATAGCAGCGAGAACAGTGAGAGAGAATGAGATGCAGAGCTGCAGAGATAGCAGTAAGAACAGTGAGAGCGAATGAGGCGGTGACAGTGAAGGCCAACAGGAGGGAAAACAAAGTCTCCAGAGCCAGTGTGTTTTGGGCAGCCAAGAAGGCCACAGAAAGCCGGTTTGGACTGGCACAAAGATTTATGAGGAGAGGCTGAGGGAACTGGGACTGTTTAGTCTGCAGAAGAGAAGAATGAGGGGGGATTTGATAGCTGCTTTCAACTACCTGAAAGGGGGTTCCAAAGAGGATGGATCTAGACTGTTCTCAGTGGTACCAGATGACAGAACAATGAGTAATGGTCTCAAGTTGCAGTGGGAGAGGTTTAGGTTGGATATTAGGAAAAACTTTTTCACTAGGAGGGTGGTGAAGCACTGGAATGGGTTATCTAGGGAGGTGGTGGAATGTCCTTCCTTAGAGGTTTTTAAGGTCAGGCTTGACAAAGCCATGGCTGGGATGATTTAGTTGGGAATTGGTCCTGCTTTGAGCAGGGGTTTGGACTAGATGACCTCCTGAGGTCCCTTCCAACCCTGATATTCTATGATTCTATGATTCTATGAAAGAGACCCAGGAACGGAGGTCGCGGAATGGAACACCACCGAGGAGCCAGGACTTAAAACCCTCCTGAGAGCTGGAGCAATTTGGAGAGCACAGCAGATCCTTGGATGGCCTGGGCCCAGGACAGCACTCCCGTCCACCTCTTCCCCACCCTTCTTCTGATGTTACACCCAGACTTGGCCAGTCTGGGTCGTGTGTGTGTGAGCATGAAAGTGGGTTATGGCTTGGGGCATTAATGCTTTCTTTCTTCCCCTGAGTGACGTGGGAGCGTTCCCAGCACTCTCTGCTGTTATTTTATTATTTTATTTAATAAAGCTTTAAAATTTAGACACTTGGTGTGCCTCATCATCTCCTCCCCAAAAAGATCCTGTGGCCCCAGCCTGATCAACTGTGGCCCCAGACAGATTGGTAACAAAAATCTGTCACAGGACTCCTGGGGAGCCCACATGCTCAGGGTCCTTATATGCAGCCTGGGCGTCTCTGCCCCACAGGCTCTGCTTTGGTTCAGCCAGCTGGGCTGGACGGAGGAGTCACTGGGGGAGATTTTCTGGCCTGTGACTGCAGCAGGCTTTATGGGCTGGTCCCCCCCAGTCCATCCCTCCCTTCCCCAGAGCCACGCAGGCTGAATCCAGCCTCTCCCCACCCCAGGATCACTCACTCGTCACATGGAGCTCCAGTGTGGCGTTGCCAACGGTGTTGTTGGACTGGAAGTCACAGAGGTAGCGCCCTTCATCCTGCAGGGTGAGGTTCCAGATCCGCAGGGCCAGGCTGCCTTTCTGGATCCCGTCCCGCAGGAGCTCCGTCCTCTCACCCTGCACCTCGCTCCCATTCGGAAGGTACACATGGATGTCCTGGCCTACCCGGCTCCATTTCACCTGCATGGCCTGGGCGCTGAGCGCGGGGGAGAGGTGGCAGGGCAGCAGCACGGTGCCCCCCAGCGGGGCGGAGAGGGGGCCGGCAGGAGCCAGCACCTGGAAATTCACTGGGGAAAGGGGCAGAGAGACAAGCCTGGGGTCAGAGGGGAGCGGTGGGAAGCAGCTTCGTCTCTGACATAGCCCAGCCCCCAGCCCCACCACCCAGCCCGGAGACCCTAGCGGATCCTGGATAGAGGGGCTGAGAGAGAGCTGTGAGAAGGGGTTGGGGAGGGAAGGGTGGAGGCATGTGTATAGGGATGGATGAATGGGGGAGATGGATGGAAGAAGTGTATATTGATGGATTGGGGAGAGGACAGATGTATGGAGGAGGAGTGTATATGGAGAAGGATGGAGGAGTGTATATGGAGAAGGATTGAGGGGTGTGGGGATAAATGATGGATAGATGGATGCATGGAGCAGTGTGTGTATGGGGAGGCCTGGATGTAATGAATGGATGGAGGGGTGTGTATCGGGATGGAGGGAAGGATGTGGGGGGTTGGATGGAAGAAAGGATGGGACAGATGGAGGGGTGTATATGGGAATGGATGGATGGATGGATGTGGGGGATGGATGGATGAAGGAGTGTTTATTGGGATGGATGGATGGATGGATGGATGGATGGATGGATGGATGGATGGATGGATGGATGGATAGAGAGGTGTGTATGGGGATGGTTGTGGGTGGATGGATGGAGGGTTTGTATGGGGATGGATGTGGGGGGATGGATGGAGGGGTGTGTATGGGGACGGATATGGGGGATGGATGGAGGGGTGTGTATGGGGATGGATGTGGGGGGATGGATAGAGGGGTGTGTATGGGGATGGATGTGGGGGGATGGATGGAGGGGTGTGTATGGGGATGGATGTGGGGGGATGGATGGGAGGGGATAGATGTGGGGGGATGGACAGTGACTCCATTTGTCACACGTTACTGTGCATATGAGTGAGCGCTAGATCCTGCGCTCTGACCCCCGAGCCCAGTGCATTACCAGGGCAGTCACCCCAGACTGTTCCCGCCATACGTGAGAGCCAGCTGGGGCCCCGTGACCACGCAGCACCATTAAGGACAGAGCCTCTGTCACGAAGTGTGCGGGGAGACAAGGCCCTGCACTCCGGCTTCCTGCGATTCACCATGACTCTCAGCCAGCCAGTAAAGCAGAAGGTTTATTTAGATGACAGGAACATGGTCCAAGACAGGTCTTTCAGGTACAGACAACAGGGCCTCCTTAGTTTGGTCCAGCTAGGGGCCCCAGGGACACCACAGCCCCGTTGGGGGGTCAGAGCCCCATCTGGGCTCCACTCCATTTCACCAGCCAGCTCCAAAAAAACCCTCACTCCCTCCAGCATCTCTCACTCAGCCTCTTCCCAGCTCCTCCCCCAGCCTTTGTCCAGTTTTCCAGGCAGAGGTGTCACCTGGCCTCCAACCTCCTTCCTGGGTTCTCATGTTACGTGCTCAGGTATCCTCCCTCAAGGCCAGTCTCCCATCCCCCAATGCAGACCGTCCCAGCCAAACTCCCCTGCAACCTTCCCCGGCCAACACTCCCCACTCAGCATTTAAAAAGAACAGGAGTACTTGTGGCACCTTAGAGACTAACAAATTTATTAGAGCATAAGCTTTCGTGGGCTACAACCCACTTCTTCGGATGCATACGGTAGCCCACGAAAGCTTATGCTCTAATAAATTTGTTAGTCTCTAAGGTGCCACAAGTACTCCTGTTCTTTTTGAGGATACAGACTAACACGGCTGCTACCCTGAAACCTGTCAGCATTTAAAGACCACATTAAGAACAGTCCCAGTTTGTCACAGCCTCCTTACCGGCCACTGCAGCCTGAATGTGCAGGAGGAGGACGGCTGAGAGCAGGGCAGCGCTGGAGTGTGGGTGACGGGATCCCAGCATCTGGCAAGGCAGCTCTTCCTGGCCTCAGGGCTGGACAGGAGCTGATGAACTATGGGGAAGCCAAGGAGACAAGTAGGGTGACCAGACAGCAAATGTGAAAAATCGGGACAGGGTCTGGGGGGTAATAGGAGCCTATATAAGAAAAAGACCCAAAAATCGGGACTGTCCATATATAGTATCAGGACATCTGGTCACCCTAGAGACAAGGGATGAGAAGGGAAATAGCTGCTCACCCGACAACTCCCTCCCTTCACCCATGGGTGGAGTAGGATAGGGTTACCATATCTATTAAATAAAAAAAGAGGACCCTCCACGGGCCCTGGCCCCGCCCATTTCCCCACCCCCCAATCCCGCCCCAACTCCACCCCTTCCCCGCCCTAACTCTGCCCCCTTCTCCCTTCCACTCCCAGCCACAGGGAAAGGGCTGCCCGAGCACTACCGGCTTCACGGTTTGCCGGGCAGCCCCCAGACCCTGCGCCCCCGGCGAGCGCTTCCCCAGCACATCTGGAGCCCGGGAGGGGAAGCGCCCGGCCGGCGGCTGGGGTCCGGAGACAAGGGGGCTGCCCGAAGCCGGTAGCACTGGGGCAGCTCGGCTCTTAAACAGAGCCGGGCTGCCCGAGCGCTACCGGCTTTGGGCAGCCCCCATGCCCGGCTCTTAAACAGAGCCGAAGAGTCAGGGGAGGGGCAGAGCCGCCATTTTCCCGGACATGTTCGGCTTTTTGGCAATTCCCCCCGGACGGGGGTTTGAGTGCCGAAAAGCCGGACATGTCCGGGAAAATGGCG